TTAAAATGATGTTAAATGGTCGCAAAACCACAAACATAGCAATAAAAACATAAAAACCTCCATCTACGATTACATTTATAAGTTTAAACTAAAATTTCTGACAGTAGTGTTGAAAACAAACGTAGTCTATGAAACGCATTGTAAATAAATAGGACGCCATTTTGTTTCTTTTGGTTAAAACAATACAGTTGAAACATTAATGGATTTATCTTTAACTGACCATTTTACACCCATATAAGCAGAATTGCCCTAGTCGTTGACCATTGTACTTTGATTATTTTAGAATGAATAAGCAAAGAGTGGCTAAAAGGACGATATAAAAGGTTCCAAAAGTTACGATGCCCACCGTCATTAACATTGTGTCGAAAGGTGACGATCAAGTAAAACACAAGCTCAAAACGAACGTTGATTTTTTGGGTATGAGACAAGTATACATAATCGAAAATACTTACCTAGATTTAGAAAGACTAAAACAATCTTGTAAATAAAATTCGATGATCTTCTCCTGGTATATTATACGTAAGATACGAAAAAATCGAGAGATAATGAGAGTACGGTCTGACGTTTACGTAAGAACGCAACAGTACTATGACGTCATTGTCTCGCAGGAAGAGCGAAACACGCATCCCCCAGACGCAACCTCGATTCACGCGTATAGAACAATAGCGTTTCCTAACCGGGTGTTGAGGTGATTTTGAAAAACATAAACTCCTAGAAAACGTCCATGAAGTCACAGCAAAGATTTTCAAGCTTGTTTATTGGCACAATCAATTTGTTTTCCCATCAAGGTCTGTTTTAACATGTGTAGGGACATCCAAATGTGTAAGGCTATTGGAAACCAAAAAAATAAAGGAATGGGATAGCTATATTTGGATAAATTCGGCATATGAAAACACCAAAATCAATGATTTTTTTAGTGGCTGTGTGACCTTGTGTCTGACACATTCATATGCAAATGACTAATCTGTGAAACAAACAGGGGCGGAGACAAACCACTCAAATGTTTGGAAACACTCATTGTGTGTCAGATAGCTACTGATAACACATCCTAACATTGCTTTGTCTTGAGTTTATCTTTGAAACTTATAGACACACAGATTAAACCTGTGTTGTTGATGTTGGAAAACACTACTGAGGCTGCCTTGCTTTCCTTCAGAAAATCTACATTTTAACCAACTTACATGACATTCTATGTTATGTTGACTTTATCATATGAAAGTTTATAGTGCATTTCATCAATTAATAAATAAATGTGAAAATCGTAATTTTCAACACAAATAATAGTCTCGCTACCTTAATGCTGGTTACCATGTCGTGTCGACATCACGTGGATAGATTGTGTGCCGCTCCAATGAAAAAAACATTTATGTTATGATTTGCTATAATGTACTAATTTGTTTTTGAGTCCTCCCCAACAACCTAGAAAATTCAAATGTAGATAACAATTACCAGACTTCACGCCGTAATTGCGAAGGGGAAACCGATAGTATTTTTGATTCATCTGACGAGTGATGATGTATTTGGTGGCGCATATTTCGATTTTTCGTCAGCAATAAAAGCAAATTATACCATTTACATTGGTCGATGATATCTATTTTTTTTAAATTTCCCCTATAGTACATGAAATCAAAGTATATACATTAACTTTGCATTTGTTTTTCTTTTATTAGTTTGAATATATTTTTCAGTGGAAAGTTTGTTTTATTTAAATTTTGTATCTGGCTAATTTTCAGTTGAAATACTTTTTTGTGAGTACTAGTATATTCTTAAACTGTAAGTCCAGTCAAAGAAAGTCTTATCGTAACCTCGCAGTATTACACTGTATTGTCAGCATGGAATTTGACCACGTTTCCATTGAAATAACATTTGCATTCTTCATAATACTTCGAAACCATGAATTGCAAATCCGTTTTGAAAAGCAAACCGAAATTACAACAATTTAAATGGATTTAAAAATGCAATTATAAATGTTAAACTTCAAAGGTGGAATTTAAAATCTAAATAGACATTAAGAACGAAAATATTTTTTTTTCAAAGAAAATTGTAGTTTTAATTGTAGTCAAATAAAACATGGTTGCGAATTTAAACTAGAATTTGAAATAGACTGGTGTTATGTAGAAAATATTTGAGCTGTGACGAGGGTATACTACTAGGCCATTGATTGTAATTTTGCTAATCAACATGAGAACTTACAAAGAACGATTATTTCCATTATTTTAAAACGTTTATTTTATCTTGTGGAGTTAATGATCGGTATTTTGCCAACCAGTCACTGCGCACGCGCAATAACGCGTAAACAAGTGCGACCCCCGTCATTGAACAGACATAATATATACGAGGGAAGGATTTCCAGCTGCTTCATAACAAAGAAACACTATTTTCTTTTTTACTATGCATGTTTTTTTATACATTATCTTCTATTTTTTTTCTAACTTATGTATTTTATTAGTTTTAGTTATATTTATAATTTTGTTTTGTCATTATGTTTATATATATCACCTTTATTGTATTTATCAATACCCCATTGTGGATACAATTTCAATAACGTTATTATTATTATTATTATTATTATTACATATTCAATGCGATGACATCATGTGGCACGCCAGCAGGTTCACCTAAATACGCATTTTAAAGGTCATGAACCACCTCATGTGCGGTCAGCTGTATCAACAATGGCTGTCAACACCTACATGGTGTGCCTCGATGACTACGAATATTACGCTAAAACACACCTATCGCTTATGACATGGAGCTTCTATTCCTGTGGAACCGATGACGAAATTACGTTGGAAGAAAACAGGAGAGCGTTTCGAAGGTATATGTATATATGTCTATCACAAACAGTACCTGTTTCCAAATTTCTTGGTGTCTACATTATACATTTACTGGGTTAGAAATGGTTTTCAGAACGAGGCTGTTCTCACACGATTCAAGTGAAGCTTTTTAAGAGCACAACGTTCGTACCAAAAATGGTACTTTTTTAAGCAGCAACACCCTGGATTCTAACAATTTTCAGATCGATGAATTGTGTCAATGCATGGTTTCTCAACTAAATGAGCTAAGTAGGAAGATTGAGGTTGAAAGCAACATGGTTGTAGTTTCTAATGATATGCAAGAGTCAGGTATTCTTTCTACAGTTCATTGGCTCATTTGTCCTTCTGTACATCGTGCGTAAACTTCGTACAGTGTGACAAAACACAAACCGTGACGAGTCTGTAAAAAACAAACAAAAAAAACTCGCCAATTTCGCAGTATTATTTACGGTAACTAGGACGCTAGCATTGTAACCCTGCAACAAACATGCCGTTAATTCTGATACACTAAATAAACACAATTCTTTCTTGAATTAAAGAATTCGACTGAAACCAAGAGTATTAAGAGACGTTTCAACACGTGACCTGAAAACTACAATACTTTGCAGAGAAATCGACATACCAATATGCATATCTCCAACAGCACTCCACGGATGGGCTCATCCTGATGCTGAAGCTGGGGCGGCTAGAGGTAGGACATTATGAAGCAATTAGAATCATATACAAGCTGTTTTTTTTTACACAAAAATAACAAACCACGTATATATCATTAGCAAGCTTATCAATGAATATTTATTGTGGTATTTATTTTTGTTCAGTAGTAATGGAAATGGAAAACGAATAAGCCTCAGTACTTTCTTGACGTGTATACAGTTTAGTTCACTTTTTAATCCATATCATACCTTAATATATTCCAGCCTCTGAGATGTTTAATACATGTATGGTGCTCTGTACGATCAGTTCGATGTCACTAGAGGACATTTGCTTTGCTAACACTGGAGGTACTAAATGGCTGAATATTTATCTATTTCGTAATCGGCATGTAACAGCGGACTTAGTGCTAAGAGCGGAACGATCTGGATGTAAAGGCATTGTTGTATCGATCGATTACTGCGAACCTGGTAACAAACGAAGGTTGGCTCGTGTAACTGGAGACATTATAGCAAAAAATGTCGACATTCCTAATTTTGAGAAATACTACAAAGAATGTAAGCAATATTTAATAAGGCTGTATTGAATTAACTAATGGAAGTTCAAGAATGTCTTACGTTAATAATATGACGTCATCTGCTTATGACATGGTTTAATGAATTCAAAGTACCAACAACTCAACAACACATTTGTAACAAATTGATTAAAAATTAAGCTACACTTGTTCACAACGATAATTTGATGAGATGCTGAATTGTCGAGTTACGAGCAGCGAGTTACGAAAACATCGAAAAACAAAAGACCATATTTTAGATACTATGCCATTTTTTGCAAAACCATGTTCAATTAACAGTTAACAGAACTTCGAGTTATGGGCAACATATTTTGTTTGTTTTGTTTATCGTTAACTACCCACGTTATCAGCGCGACCACGGAGGGCGTTCCAATGTTTTTGCTCGCGTGAATTAAATCGGGCAATTGAATTTGTATGGTAATTGCATTGTCTATGTATTTTTATTTAACCTTAACACTCGCAAACCTCAATGATTGTCTTATAATTAAAGGGAGTATTAGATAAATCAACAAACGAAAAAGTGAAAAGTGATCCAAGTGCAACGTGGGCGGACATTGATTGGATAAAGTCTATAACCAAATTACCCATAATACTCAAAGGCATTATGACAGTTGAAGATGCATTGATTGCAGTGGAACATAAAGTGGATGCTATTATGGTATCTAACCATGGTGGGAGACAGCTAGATGGTGTACCAGCCACGGTAAGTAATAAAGACGTACTGTTTTGTACATAATGACTATAAATAATGATTATTCACGCATTCACAAATTGTGCAAGCAACGCGCAAGTCAAAGTTATGTCATCACAGTATTCTCCCCGCTCTAAATTTATTGCTCAGATAGATGTGTTAGCAGGGATATCCAGGGCTGTAGGTGATAAAATAGAAGTCTACATGGATGGTGGTGTACGTACAGGTACTGATGTATTGAAAGCATTGGCTCTTGGTGCTAGGGCTGTCTTTATTGGTAGACCAGTTTTATACGGCTTGGCGTACAAGGTGAGATTTATTTTATTCTTGACATTTCGTAATACGAATTATCTTGACAATGATATACAATACATGAGCAGCTGAACGCTTTGACCGTTATTCGATGCGAGTATTACACTTTTTAATAACGCCATCTACGGCGTGAAAGCGTTATTTATACGTACATATGCGAAAGTGGTGCGATAATTTCCCGCGGTATGTCTTTGTATGTTTTTTAGGATCTTTGGTAGTGAAGTGATGAACTAATATGCAGGTATCAATTTTAACGGGTTTTAAATTAAAAATCGAATGACGAATTAAAATATCAGACAATTTACAGTGACCTTCGTGTTCACCTGTAAAAATCTAAACAATAAATTTGGTATCGAATATTGTTTCATTTCGGGGGGTTAGAATAAAAATATGATTAAAATAATCAATTTAAAATAA